GAATGTTCCTGTACAGGTTTTTTTGTGGATATTTTTCCCTTTTGGATAAATACCAGATATATTTGCTGGGTCATAAGCTAAGTGTATGTTTAAGTTTATAAGAAACTGCCAAACTGTTTTCCATATTAACTGTACCATTTTACACACCCATTAGCAATGGATGAGATTCCAGTTGCCTCCACATTCTCGCTGGGTATTGGCAGTCTTTTTAATTTTATCTACTGAAGTTCACGGACGCCTAGTGGTGGTGGCTCATTATAATTTTACTTTGCATTTCCCTAATGTCATATACCTGCTTTTAAAGAATGTTTTTGAAAAATGTATTGATTTTAGAGACAGGAAGGGGTGGGGGTGAGAGGGGGAGTGTGATTTGTTGTCCCACCCAGTTACGCATCATTGGTTGGTTCTCGTATGTGCCCTGACGGGTCGAATCTGCAGCCTGGGCGTGTTGGGATGATGCTCTAACCAACTGAGCTGCCCAGCTAGGGCTTCATGTACCTGTTTTTGAAGATTCTGTTGATGTCTTCTGCCCATGTAAAAGAAGGTCATTTGATTTACTGAGTTGTAAGAGTTCTTCATATATTTTAGATAGAAGGCCTTTGTCAGACTGACATGAGTAAAGTGAGTATTTCCTTTGGGTCTGTGGTTTGCCATTTTATTTAAGTATCTTTAAAAGCTTTAATTTTGATTAAGTCAGTTTTTCACAATTTTCTCCTTTTAATACTTTTTGTTTCCTGTGAAGACATATTTTTCTACCCCAAGGCCACAAAAATTTAGCCAGTGTTTTTTTCTTAGAATTTTTGTAGTTTTAACATTCTTGTTTAGGTCTGTGATTCATGTCGACGTAGTTTCTCTGTGTATGGTCTGAGGCGGGTTGGCTCTCATTTTTCTCTCCTGCACACAGAGCGCCAGTTGTTCAGTATCATTTGTTGAAAAGACTATTTGCTTTCCACTGTATTACCTTGGGTCTTTGTGATGAGAACCGGTGAACGCGTGAGCACGTTCCCTGTCTCTGCATCGCATTCCGGTCATTTGCAGCCTGTCTGCAGCCCAGCGTTGTCGTCGGTGCCACGCCTTTCCAGTGAGTTTGGCAATCAGGCAGGGTACGCATTCTTTAACGTTACTCACCTTCAGAATTCTTTTCGCTATTCTCTATATTTTGTATTTCTATGTACGTTTTAGAATCAGCTTGTCAATTTTCACCAAATAGCCTACTGGGATTTTGATTGGGATTGGGTAAATCTAAAGGTTGATTTGAGGAGAATAGGCAATTTGACAATAGTGAGTCTTCTGCTCAAGAATATGTATGGTATCTCTCTCCATTTATTCAGATCTTTTTGAATCTCTGTTTTGTGATTTTTTCACTGGGGAGGTCTTTAATATCTTTTGTTAAATTTATTCTTAAGTATTTTGTATTTTTTGATTGTATTGTAAATGTATTGTTAATTTCATTTTCCAGTATATTGCAAGAAAAATATGCGTAATATTATATAACATGAAAACATTGTTATATATTTACTTTATATGTTACGTGTATTTTTTGAAACTTCTTAGAACTTTCTAAGTTGCTAATGATTATGTCTGTCGAGTTTTGTACCATTCTGTTTCTTGCTTTATTGCTACTGTTTCTAGTGCAGTATTGGAAGGAAGCGGTGAGAGCAGCCATCGGGCCTTGTCGCTGACCCGAGGGGCCGTCCTCTCTCCCTGTGCTGTCGCTTACACCTTACACTCGGGAGGACACTCCCCGTGCTGGTTTTGCCTCTGTGTGCGGGAGTGACAGTCGAGGGACACACACGGTGCCTTTGTCTGCAGGCCCCTCTTTACTTGGAGATTCGCATTGCAGCTTTTTATGCTAAAACGATGTATTGAGGGACAGTGTATAAAATGCACAGTAAGTTTTAGGTTGTAAGTGACTCAGATTTTTGTGGATCAGCAGTTAGTCTGTGTCTCTAGATTTTCCCTTTCTTCTTAACCCACAGCTGGTCTCCAGAATGTTCCCAAATTTTAGTGTTAGTTTACTGACCTCTACCTTTTCTCTACTTTGAGTAGTTTCTTATTTACTATATATTATACACAAGTCATTTGAAAGTGATGAGGGACCTCAAATTGTAAATTCACAAAGTTTTGAATACGTAGATGGTCAGCCATGTTTGGGAGGAAGAAAGAGCCTCTTATGTTAACCTGCAGCAAACAAAAATGTTTCCAACACACTTCATTGAACTTGTGGATGAGGGCACTTCCAAGAAGTTTCTAGAGAGCAAGGGTAGAAATTAAAAGCATGAGCTAACCATTTCTTGTGTGTTTAGTGTGTTGTACTCTGCACTATGTACATAAAAGAATTGAGTGCTTGTTATTTCTACTTTAAGACTGGTAAAAATGTGCGTTAATATACTTACAACGTGCTTGTCTATTTTTTAAAACTAGTTTGCTTTCAGTCTTGACTTTTAAACTGTTTTCCTCGTGAGATTTTTAAAGATTTAACCCTGTTTTCAGATTCTAGATTTCTCAGGAATATGCCTTGCAGAAGACAAGCCCCAGCAGTATTAAGCCTGTTTTTTGTTTTTGTTTTTGTTTTTGTTTTTTGCTCTTGGTCTAAGAACCCATAAAGGCTTCAGAATTCTCCTGTGATACTTGAAGTCCTCTTCAGTATGACTCAGTCTGTTTAGCCTGTCCTTGAGTATCAGCATTGTATCATTCTGCTTTTTCCCTTCTATGTTTTTGTCACTTTTTAAAACTTCCTTTTACTTAATACTCAATATATTTCAAGGTCAAATCTCACCCTTTAAAGTCTCTCACACTTGCTCAAGCCCACACTAAACTTGACTTACATAATCAATATTATTTTAGTAGGTTTTTAATATGTTTTAATTTTATCTGCTTAACAATTTCTGGGCTCACGGTAAAAACCAAAATGAAAATGTTTAGTTCGGTGCTATATAGCTGCCTAAGATACTTAAAATTTTTTAAAAATATTAAATCAATATTATAAGTCACTGTTGACAGTTTCACTGTGAGTATTATTTTGTTCTTACTCAATTTATTTATTAAAACAGTTTATCGGGATTCCAGTATGACAGGCATTGGGGATACAATGAAGACTGAGTGAAAAATGAACTATTAAAACTGATGATGAAATCACTGGAGACTTTAGGGTAGGCAGTGGCAAATTAATTGATAGAAACAGAAGTTCTCTCTTTTCAGACTTTAGCACTACAGGGAAGAAGGAAACGGGGAAAGTTATAAAATGCAGGTTGGGGGAAATGCTTTATAGAAAAGAGGAGATAACATGTTTGGAAATGGTGGATAAGAACCATTAGAAAGGAAAGAATCCATAAGCAAGAAATGGTATATGAAAGGGAAAGAAGTTAAGAATTGGTAATGATGTGGGTAAATAACAGAAAAAAGATTTGAAGGCACTTACCTGTGCCTTGTACCTAATGGGCTTTATTTTCTCCATAAAGCATTGGGCGTGCCCTGGAAGTAGGGGACACACCAGCAGGACAAGAAACTTGAGAACGGAAAACTAAAGGGAAGTGAATAGACGAAACGGAGCTGAGAGAAAGCAGGCTAAGGGGACATAGGCGAGGTGGAAGTCATAAACGCGTGCTGTGTCACTGCACGGCTGTACCCGGGTTGCGGCCGTACAGCTCTGTTGCAGCACCCGATAGAGGAGAGGGTGTAATAATCAAAGGCCCAGGGCAGTAGGGAGAGGAACACAGCCAAACACGGAGCTTCTACACGATGGGGTGTTTTAAGCACAACAGTCATAGCTGTTTTTAAGTCAGTAAGAGTGAAGAGTAGGTTTGGAATGAGTAAGAGAGGGGTAGAGGTATTAGAGGTGTTCAACAGAAAGTGTGATTTTGTAGTGTAAGTGCTAGACAATATGTTACAGTAGTGGCAGACTTCCTGGGGAGTGTTCACAGTACTTTGTTGAGTAAAGTGTTTTCTATTCCTTTGGAATTTGTAGTTTGTGTTAAAGAACAGCATAAAGTTTTTGAAAAAAGAGTTTTCTGTGGATAGTATTAAGTTCTCAATTAGACTGTGAGTGAAATGTATTAAAGATGTTATTTGAAATGAATGTGTAAAGGGAAAAGCTTTATCATGTTTTTATTGACTCTGGATTCTTATATTCAGAATGGTTGCTAAAGCAAAGGTCTGTGGTTTCCTGCAGTTGTAGTTTTATATGCAAGAGTTTGCTTTCTAATGATTTCTATTGTAAAAAATGCAACATAAAAATTTACTATTTATCTTAACCATATGTTCACACTGTTGCGAAAGCTCCAGAACTTCTTCATCTTGCAAAACTGTTACACAGTTAAACATAACTCCCCTTTCTGCCGCTTCCCCGCACCCCCTGACCTCCCTCCAGCCCCCGGTAACCAGCCTGCTATGTTTTGTCTCTGAATCTGACTGCTCTAGGCACCGTGTGAGTGGGGTCATACAGTATCTGTCTTTTGGTGACTGGTTTATTTCACTTAGCGTGATGGCCTCAGGCTCATCCATTTTGTACAAGCCTCTAACAGAATTTCCTTCCTTTTTAAGGCTGAAATAAGATTCCATCGTATGTATATATTGTATTTTGTTTATTCACTTATCAGAAGATGGACACTCCGTTGCCCCATTTTTGGTTATTCTGAGTACTGCTGCTATGAGTATGGGTGTGCAAATGATTATCTCAAGATCTTGCTTTAATTCTTTCAGATGCGTACCCAGAAGTGGGGCTGCTGGATCATTTATTCTCTCTTTTGAGTAACGTCCATACTGTTTTCCGTAGCAGATGCACTGTTTTACTAATGATTCTTTTAATATAAAATGATTGGAAATGTGAACTGTGCTTGTTTTGTTCCATCTTTTTAGAAAGATTTTAATAGTGACATTTCCCTTGGTTACAGCTTTGAAACTGAGAGTAGTAATTTTTGTGATTAAAAGCAGAGTATGCCGTAAGTTATGAATATAAATATGGACTGTAGAAATGAATATGTTTTAATGTTTCTTTGCAGATTGGGAAAATGAGGTACGTCAGTGTTCGGGACTTTAAAGGAAAAGTCCTCATTGATATTAGAGAATACTGGATGGATCCAGAAGGTGAAATGAAACCAGGAAGAAAAGGTGAGATTTAATTTTCTGAATTTGTCCTAATACTGGGACTGAATAAAAAATGATCTAAGTGACCTACCTTGCTTGAAATTGAAATAATGTTTGCAGTGATTCTTACTTGGTTGATTCATTATCTTCTGTATTTTTTTTGGGTATGATACTTAGCTTTTTTTAATGAGGTACTTTAAATATAGCTGTTGGAATAAAACCCAGAAAAAATAGTACCCCTAATATCACTCCAGTTGGCTGCTAATTTACTTGAATGTAATTAAAAAAATTTTTTTTAACATTAATTCTGAAGTAGAGTAGGCACTGTCTGGGAAGTTGTAAATCAAGAATGGAAAATCCTGGTTCCCACAGTGTTTCCTTTTGGATATTTTTTAGGTTGGTGCTCTTTAAATGGATTTTTGTCTTCTTTTTGCTTCATCTAGCACCAGTGAAGCATATGTTATTAATTGACCCAATAGCTAGAGAGCATTGTGTACCAACATAAAATCATATATCTGGGTAGTTAGCTGCTTTAGGTTAATCCTTAGCTCTTAAAAAATACCTCCTTATTTTCTTCTATCCTGCCTGCATGCCATTTGAAAAGGTAGTTTGCTTCAGTACTTTTTAGGTTTATTAAACTTAACCCTCTTTGTTTTTATAGTCTACATTTTCGTGTTCACCCTACTTCTGGACTGGTCATTCCAGTTGTTCCATTGTGGCTGATACCAGATTTCTTTTCTTGTTCCTGCAGAAGTTTACTAAAACAATTAGATTAGCTTTAAAGCCCAGTACATTCTCCTCTTTCCTCTCAGTTTCATGGCTTCCGGCAATTTCCTGAGATACATTAATTCTTCAGTTTTAGTTTATTTCTGTGTGTATGGGTTAGGTATTAGAATATTGAAAGTTTAAAGTACAAAGTTCTTTCTGTTCATAGTATTGCACCTTATGTAGGACAGGCATGTCATTAAGCAAACACTCTGAGTATTTACTTGTGCCCAGAGATCTGCTAAGCTTTCAATTCAGGTTAGCTGATTTAATCTCTCACAGCAGCCCTTTGAAGTATAAGTACCATTTTAATGGTGAGGAAACTGAAGCTCCTAAGTAATGCAATTGCTTTAAGGTCTTAAAGTTAGTGCCTGCGAGGATGGGATTTGAACCCTCTGACAGCATGACTGAAGAGTGTAATTCCAAGAATTCCAGTGTGGACCATATCCCAGGGATTTTCCAGAGCTCAGTGAATGCTTCTGGAGGAACTCAGCACAAAGTCACTCACCCTGAGTTCCTGTGGAAATATTGAGCACCTGTTGGAACCAGCGGGGTGTAGCTCTGGGGTGTCACACACCATAACGGGCCTGGCCACCTAGGTTGCTAGTTTGCAAGCACGTGTGAGATACATCTGCAGATTGTCATTTGTTCTCACTGGGCATGGTATGTATCGATACCATGTAGGAAGCAGTGTCTGAACGTGAAACTGGGTATCAGATTGATCTCAGGTAATTGTGATGACTGTGTAATTAACAAATTATGAGATATCAATATTATATCATTGTACCCTTCAAAAATGATCATTTTGATAAAACAGTATTTTAGTTGAAGGTGTAAAACTCCTCAAGAAAGTATAGATTCTCAATTTTTACTTTTAAAACTTTATTTTAGGTATTTCTTTAAACCCCGAGCAGTGGAGCCAGCTGAAGGAACAGATTTCTGACATTGACGATGCAGTGAGAAAACTGTAAAATCAGAGCCATATAAACTTGTACTAGTCTAGTTGTTTTAACCTGTCTTTTTACATTGGCTTTTGTTTTCTAAACTTTTTTCCCAAGCTATTGTATATTTGGATTGCAGAACAATTTGTAAGAATACTTTTTTTTTTTAATGTGCATTAATTAAAAACGATCTAAGTGAAGCTCATTGTCAACTTCATTAAGGAGGATCGCTTTGTGCCCACCACCTAGTGTAAAATAAAATCACGTAATACAATCTTAACTGTTGTGGCCTTCTTTGATCAGAAGAATTGGTACTATTTAAGGCCAAAAGTTTACAGACCTTTTAATTTCAGCCTTTTACATTCAAAAGGATTTGTATTGTATTGAACTGATAAATTTTTAATTTGTGAAATCCGTAGTTGCTCTGTTTTCTTCTAAACAAATGTCCAGTGACACTTCACTTTCCCCTTTTTGTCTTTACTTCGTTTTCCATTAATAACTTGTCATGTTCAGTTTTCTTTCTTTCTTTCTTTTTGCTCTTGAATATATTATGCTAATCTGGAAAGTCAGTGAAATTGTCGAAATGTTAGTTATCTCAATAAGGTACCTGTAATAAAAATATTATATGAAAACTACAATCACTAATTCTACTGTATAAAATATTAGGAGATATAGTTTGATAAACAACATGGCTTGTATGAAAACTCTGAGCAAGTAAGTATGTGTCATTACCTGTAGTGTTCTGTGTGGTAGTTAATCTCATTGCTTAGTTTGCAGAGGATAGTGGCTTAGGTGTCTGATTTGTTTTCACTTACAAAACATGTTCATCATAGGATGATGTCTATAAAAGCAGAAATTGTTAAATTAGACTAGGACTTAATAAAAATTGTGAAAGCTTACTGGCCTAACATTTTATTTTATAAACATTGAGTATGAATTATATATAGCCAGAGGAATTATTGAGCTTTACTGTTACAGTAGGTAATGTCAGTTTTTAGGGGAAAGAGCATATACTTGTGTTTTCTGGCCTTTGCTTCAGTAGACTTAGTTCTTTTGCAGTTAGTCTACTGGACTTCAGTGATACTGAGTTTTAGCAGGCACTCACAATGATTTTCATCGAACCATCATGACAAAGCAGACACGGACAGAAGCATAGATTTCAGGGGGCTTGGCAGCAATAAATAAGGCGTGGTGTGTGGCCTTAGGGAGAGAATGTAAGGGAGCTTTTACTGAAGTTAAAGAAGGCAGTGAAGATGAAGCAGTTCTCTTCAAACTAAATGATATTTTGATCTCTTTGGTAGGATACAATTCTAGGTAGAATAGTAAAAAGAAAGGTTTAGACTAGACATGTAAAAATTTCTTGTTGACAAATTATTTTTGGTAGCTAAAATAAAATTTAAAATGGTTACTGCCCTATCAGAGAGTTGCACTATTATACCAAGTTTGATTGCTAACGATGTGTAGAACATTTTATGGAATTGTCAAGGACTTGATTTTAAAACCATCTGCCAGTCCACATATAATTTATCAGTTATCTGACAGCTGTTCTATTTTAAATATTTTTTTCATTTTTAGGGTTTTCTTTAAGTGTTTTTAGCACTATAATATTTACTTAATTAGGGAAATAAATTCTCTTCTGGTATTTTAGCCTTCAGCAAATAATAGGTACTAAAGTGTGTAAATAACTTTTTTTATTGATAACTTCCCCCATTTTTGGAAACGTGTCCTGTTAGCTTAATTGGGTAGATTGTAAAGTATTCCCTACATACACAAAAAGGACAGTTAGAACACAGAACATTGATTTTGTTGTAGAATGGAGAGGGACTAATGGTTGAATTTCCTAGGTTTATATGAATTTAAGGGGTGTATACATTTTGAAACAATCTGCTAATAAAGAGATGGTGCTGAAGTTTATTATATTACCTAGGCATTTTCTAGCTGTTTAGCTTAAACCCTTCATATAAGGAGTGTTTTTTCTGGCAGAATTTGGTACGTTGACTGCTAAATTCATTGAAATAATGTTACTGGATATGCAATATATAGAAATTATTGGTTATTTTTGTGTGTAGGAAAGGATGAGAACTGAGTTAAAATAACAGCCAAATTAACTTGTACCGAAAAAAAGAGTACTTCTGTTTTCTGTTTTTACTTTACCTTCTTGGTAAGATTTCTTCAGGAAGAAAGTGAGGCACTTTGGAGCAGCCGTTTCTCACCTTGTAAACAAGGCCAGAAGGGACTGAATAAAACCAGCCCTTGAATGTGCAGCAGCAGCAGGGCTTTTCCCGTGGGGTTTTACTCTTTGTCTTTTAAAGTACAAGCAGCATTGGACCAATTTCCAGTGCTCTTGGCATGTTGTTAAAAGAACAACTACTAAAAAAGAAATACTGTATATAATTTGATTATTTTCTTCTGTTTCGCTTCATAAGTGCTTAAGAACTTCTTTTGAAGACTGTTCCTACCTCATTAGCTAGTCAAGATCCTGTGATAACCTATTCCACATAATGCTTTTGGAAAAAAGACTTTGAAAATAAAAAGTAGGTACATCTTGGCTTTGGCTATTGAGAGGAAAAGAAAAAGAATTGAGAATTAAGTGTTCCTGACATGGATATGTGAGAATATTACACAAGCTTGAAATATTAAAGTGCTGGCTAATATTTACGTATTTCTCCTATTTTTCGCTATTCACTTTTTATGGAAATTAACTCAGTGAAACACTCAAAACTGTGTGTGTGTGTGTGTGTGTGTGTGGTTTTTTTTTTTTTTTAAGTGGTGTTTTTCCAGATAACTTTTCGGGGTAAACACTTACGTGGTCACCAGTACGTAACTCTGTGATTGTGGAATACCTGTATGCTTTGTTTGGTGCCTCTGCCATGGAGATGTCAACAACTACAATACTCCATCTGTGAATATTTTAAATGTTGAAATAAAAAATAAGAAATGTGCCCTCTGTGTCATCCCAGTTTCACACACCTGAAGGTGAATGGCTAAGTTATCTGTTGAGTGGGTTTTATTAACAGACAGAGCGCCTCTCTGTGGGAGTGTTTTTGGCACGTGGATTAGCTTTGGCCGGTGAAGTCTTGGAGCATCCCTGGGACTGGGCGGTCCGCCCGATCCAAAAGGGAGATGCAAACACGAAGGTGTGCACAGCCTCCTTTTTCCTCCCCCCGTGAACGTTGTGCAGTCTGCTACTCTGTGGAATACCTAGCTGTATAATAGACTTCTCTGCGTTTTTCAAACGCACATTTTCATTTATAAAGTGTCTATTTTCCCTTTCTTGATCAGTACCTTTGCTTAGTTATATATTGAGATCTCTTACTGTTTACATGTCTGTTTAGGGAAACTTCAGGCAGGGATAGAAAAGTCCATGGGACACCACTTAAGCCTCTCAACTTGCCCCACCCACTGAACTGTGAAACGTTGACTCAAAAATTCAGTAAAAAAAAAGTACTTGGAATCACTAACTTTACAGTTTTGTAGTATAGCTCAAAGGTGTAATGGGATTAGAAAAGGCATTTTAGAAGCATGAAGCATTTAAAAATTTATATAGAATTACTTACTATATAACAGTATACACAAGACTTAATGTCCGTCTGTGTAAATGATAGTATTACTCAGGACTCCCCCCTTCCCCCAACTGTTTTATATAAAAGTCTGACAGAGTTCAGACCTTCCCAGACATGATTTTACAGCCATTTTAGTCCTAGATTAACAGTGACCTGCTGTTTCTGACCAAAGTGAAACACATCCTTTCTCCTCTAATTTCACTTTGTGGCTTTTGAGAGTTTTAAATGACCTTTCTGCTGGATAACTTAAGTTGGAAGTGTTTTAGGCCACTTCCATTTTTTAACTGCCAGGAAAAAAAATCACGCTGAATTTCAACATTTAGATATTATAACTAACCTTTCTGGGTAAGAAAAACACTATACAGAGTTCTCCTTCCATCAAAGTCAGAGCTAACCTGTAATTGTGTATGTAGTAGCTCAGGCGTCTTGGAAAGTGATGTAAAGTTGCACTTTTTGTTTTTTGCTGAGTCTTCTGATAGCTCCTACTCTGGCTTTTTTTCCTCCTTAAAAATAATTAGCTGTTGCTAGAATGGTACAGAGAACTCCCATATATCTCTTCACCCAGAGACCCCATTCAGACTCTGCCAGTTGTTCTAGTATCTATAGCAAAAGCTTTCGACCCATTTAATTGTTACATCTCTCCAGTCTTAAGTCTGACACAGGTCATGCGTTTTTCCTTAATTTTTGCAACATTCACATTTCTGAAGTTCGTTAATTGGCAGGTCGCTGGGGATGCTGATGGCCGGGGAAGGCAGAGTCTGAGTGAGGTGTGCAGACTCGGCAGCTTGGTTGTGCAGAATAAAGAGGGATGAGATGGTTGCTACGGGAGGACATTGGGTCCACGGACAGAGCAGGGGGTGTGATTTAAACACAGTGCGCAACATGTAGTTGACGGCGTGGATTTGGCTGTGTTCGGTAGCTATTTAAACTGACCTAAGTGTCCCCTGCGGTTTCAATCACTTCCCACTTCTGTTGCCTGGTGACTTCTTCCTAAGTGTCACCGGAACCGTGAGTATATTTTAATATTTTTAAAGAAAATATATACCTACTTCATTGTAACATCAAGAATCGGGTCATTCTGGTTCTCAAACCACTTTTCCCTCCTACAGTTGAGCTGCTCCAGGTTAGACCACGGACTCGCCCAGCGGTGCGTGTGGGCAGCTGGGTGCGCGTGGCGCAGGGGCCAGTCACGAGCCGCCTGGTTTTTTTTTGAGGCACGAGCCTTGTTTCCTTTCATTAGTGGCCTTGGAAGCGGAAAAGGAGAAAGAACATTTTCCTTTTTTTACCCTTCAGTGATACAAAAGGAGCAAAAGGTGGTGAGAAGACATATAGCAGAACCCTGAAGATTTTGAGGAATTTGCGGATTTTAGCCTCAATCCAGGATCAAAATTAATCTGGCATTCAGGTTTGAGGACTAACCCTTTTGCATTGTGTTAACTGAAAAGTAATTTCAGAAGCCTGTGGTTTTCCCTAAAATTCTCTATTTAGAAACAAATGTCTTCTGGTATCCAAGCACTCATAAATAGCTTTTTTTTTTTTTTTAATTGATTTGTGACTGTTTCTGAATATGGGGAAAGGCTTCTTGCTCACTACAGTCATTAACCAGTAGTCAGAGCCCTCAGAAACGATTGAGCGCATGTTCAGGACACCGGAGCCCTGGAACGGCGGTTCCCGAGTGCTGAAGTGGAGGGCAAGCTGCTGCTGTAAGAGG